ATCCCCGCACACATGCCCGCACACATGCATAGGTTCATACAAGCACTTGCCCACACACACACACACACACACACACACACACACACACACGTAAACAGGCACACATGCTCACACGCACCCATGCAGTTGCCTGAACACATGTATACACACACAGGCTCATGTCTACTCACATGCATGCTTGCACTCACCCAGGCAGACATGCTTGCACACACAACCACACGTGTTCACACACAACCACACACTCGTGCCCCCAGGGCTTCCACAGGACCGTGTCAGGCAGGCATCACGGGGTCCCGAATGTGCCGCTGGCCTGCAACACCACGGCTCCCTTCCCCGTTCACCACGGGGGTCCAGGCAGGGTCCAGGCAGCCCTGCCTGTCGCTGGGGGGGACCAAGCCAACATCCCCCCCGGGACCAGTCCCCAAGCCTGGGCGTGTGGCTGCAGGGGGGGACAGACTTGGCACCCCAAAGTACCCACACCCCATCCAAGCTGGCGGGGGGCAGAATGCACTAGCTGGCTCCGTGGCTGGCGCAGGTTACAGGGGTGTGCACACAGGCAGGTCCCCATGCATGAGTGTGCATCACACCAGGGGCCCTCAACCCCTGCCCCCTACCTCACTCTGTGCTCAGCGAGTCCCGGGGGTCTCCGAAGGTGGCAAAGGGCTCCTGGCTCTCATCCACAGGGCTCCCTGGGGGCAGGCGCAGCTCAGAGGCGGCTCGGGGGGGGGGGGGGGCCCAGGGCTGGACCCCAAAACCCCCCCCAGCCCCAGCTCCCCCTGGGGGCCTGGCTGGGGGGCAGGATCAGGGCCCCCTTGGCTCCAACCTACCAGGCACGACCGTCCTCTTCCCCATGAGCCCCACGAAGAAGTCGTGCATGTCGCCTGCAGCGGAGACCTGATCAGTGCCAGATGGGCTGGCTGCACCCGGACCCCTGCCCCAGCCCTTCCACCCCCACAAAGGGGCTGCTTGACCCAGGGTTCAGGGGAAGGGGGAGCAGGGGAAGGCAGGAAGGGGAGAGGGGTCAGACTCACGTTTCTGGGAGGGGGCAAGAGCCTGAAGACCTGGAAGAGACAGAGAAGGGGGGGG